CATGGCTTACAGGAGCTGTCTACATGGGCTTTATTTCAAACACACTTCCAGACTAGAGGATGTACCCCTGCTAATATGAAGACGCATGTTGTTCATGCATGATGGGACTCCAGCACACTTTAGTCACATTGTTCACAATGCACTGGCTGACATCTACCATGAAAGATGAATAAGTAGGGGAGGTCCGGTTCTATGACCTGCAAGTTCCTCTGATCTCAATCCTTTGAATTTTTATCTATGGGATCACCTAAAGCGATTGGTTTATGCAGCAGAGACACTTCATCAATGTGTCATGGGGTCCTGTGAAACCATTTGACATTGTGTAGGAGTATCTGAAAGGGTCTGGCACTCAATGATTCAATGGATGCATGTGTGTGTGCAGAAGCAAGCGGAGAACATTTTGAACATTTATTATGAGTTGGTATGTTGAGATACAGTAATGTGGACAGATCTTTATCTGAGCATTTTACCTTGTTTTGGTGTCAGGAAAAGTTTGTAAAAGTATTTCTGATACACCCTCTGTGTGTGTGTGTGTGTGTATATATATATATATATTCCTTTTTATGTATATAAGAGTGCTCCATTTTAAATAATTTTAAGAGCTTTTAACATATATAAAAATAACATTTTTATTAACAGTGCTTTCACACTTAGTGATTTTTCAAAATAGGTGTGTTTATTATAAATGCTCCCAACATCTAGTTCTTTTTTACATTTTTCAAAAGTGAAGCTTCAACTATGCTGATGGTTTGACATAATTTTGTTAGGGGTTTGTAATATGTTGTTGGTGCACAATCTAATTTCAGTAGCTGTAATTACAAGTTATTCTGGGTGCTGTCCAGAATAAGACAATCTTGAAAGTACATACATTGAAAAAGATATAACACAGTAAAGGTTATGCAATGCATTAAAATTTTGAATGAAACTCAAGATATTTTTTAATAACAAATGACCATTTATTTTGATGTTCTCTACACCATGTGGAGTGTTTAATAAAACCCTTGAGAAGAAGGGAAATGTTGGTACTAAACTTTATTGGAGAATCTACTTTGGCAAAGTGGAAAATGTTGATTCAGTTGATGAGTGATCCATCTGAGTTCACAACACGTAATCTCCTTCTCACTGACCCTTCCTTTTTTATCTTTTGTGTTTATGTTTTCCAGTTAGCAGGTGCTGACTCACAATGAAGCCCTTCAAAAATGCCAAGGAAGTGGTTTGTAGTTGAATAATAATATGAATTTTATTTTTGAATATTTTAAAACACTGCCAGAAGTGCCACTCAGGAGCCTATATCTGATTTTGGTCATTTGACTCATGACTTTGAGATGGGAACTTCCGGTTGACCCAACAATTTCATTCCTTTTGTTTATTAATTTATTCAAATTCTTAAATTCTATAATTTACAGATTCTTCTCTATGCATAGATTAGAATTTCTGTTTCTCTTTTAATATTACATACTCAATACCTAAATACCTAATGGTATTTACTCTCCCATTTTTGGTTCTTAAATATATTGATAATATGCTGTTATTCTTATATCTTTGATACAGTTTGTGTATCTTTCTTAAAATCCTTTCCCAGTTACTCTCATTTAAATCCTCTCCTGATTTCTTTTTTATTTCACTTTATGATATATTTTATATTATATCAGGTCATCCCATAAGTTCTGTCCGAATTTTAACTTTTTGTTAAAATGAACGAAATTTAAAGAGTATTTTATGTCTAATGGAGCTGAACATTATTTTTATGTTTAGATGCATTTAAACTGATCAAATTTTATTTCAGAGAACAATAAAATTAAATTTTGTTTGATTAAAACCCTGCTAACATGGAAGTACCCAAGAATCATTTGAGGCACATAATGCTTTATGAGTTCAAGAAAGGAAACTCAGCTGCCAAAGCAGCTAGAAACATTCACTCAGTTTATGGAGAGGAATGTGTGAATGAAAGAACTTGCAGAAGATGGTTTGCAAAATTCAGAGGTGGAAATTTCACCCTTGAAGATGAAGATCGAACTGGACGTCCAGTTGAGTTTGATGAAAAGCTTCTTGAAGCAGCCCTTGAAGAAAATCCTGCTTTATCAGTTGAGGAATTGGCAGTGGTTCTCAGCTCAAACCATACAACTGTTCATCGTCATCTTCAACAACTTGGAAAAGTTCCTAAACTTGGAAAATGGGTGTCTGAAAACAACCTCAAATCCCGAGTTGACATCTGCTCTTCTCTCCATTCTTGCCAACTTGCTTCACCTTTTTTGGATAGACTTCTGACTGGCGACGAAAAATGGATCTTTGTTAAGCGTCATAGACAGTGGCTTGGTAAAGGGGAAGGACCCCAGCCACATCCGAGAAGGGAACTTCATGGGCAAAAGGTTTTTCTTTCAATCTGGTGGGATCGCCAAGGAATAATCCACTTTGAATTCTTGCCACCTAATGCAACAATTAATGCTCAAATATACTGTCAGCAATTAGAGCGTTTGAACCAAGCTTTGAGGAAAAAAAACCTGCTCCAGTGAATCGAAAAGAGGTGATGTTTCACCAGGACAATGCGCGACCCCACACAGCAAGAATCACGTCACAAAAGATCGAAGAACTTGGTTGGGAGAAAATTCCTTCTTGCTCCTTCAGACTACCATTTGTTTTGTAGCTTACAGAATCATTTGGAATAAACAGCTTTTGTAACACAGGAAGAGGTTAAAACTGACATTTGTGAGTTCTTCGAATCAAAGCCAAAAGAATTTTACAGTAATGAAATTAGTAAGCTTGTTAATAGATGGAAGGAAGTCATAGTTAATCAGGGAAAATACATTGTTGATTGAATCTGTAATTAAATGTAACATATGGTCACTTGTTTTCTTTATTCAAAATTTGGACAGAACTTATGGGATGACCTGATATAATTAATTTAATTTTTTTGCTATTCTCAACTGGTGTTGTCCATTTTTTTTACCAGTTGACAATAGCAAAAAAATTAAAACCGACACTCAATAATATCAACTATGAACATGGACACAATATCTTGACCATGTTTTGAAAATGAAAACATTATGTAAATACATGACACTGCACTGTCGGCCTGTCCCAGCTGTAATGTTTCTTCCACCGGCGTTTTGGGGGTGATTCTTAGTCGCTGCCACGATCGGTGATCGTACCTGGTTTGATACCAGCTCCATTGTTCCCAGCTCACTTCCAACGTCTGGTTACCGAAGTAACTGCTTCGATCTCAAGTCTCACCTACCCACGTTGTGATTTTGATCTTAGGTAGATCAATCAGGCGTCGGGTCGTAGTGTAAGTTGGGTCCAGACTGAAGGTGAAATCGCACAAGTGTAAAGAAAAAGAAGCAAATAAGAGAAAAAAAAAACCAAGAGGTTTGAGCATGTTAAGAAATAACAAATTAACTTTATCCGTCTGTTATATACAGGAGTGTGTTTTCCTCCCAGCCCATTTTCTACAGATTGCAACACTTCTACGTTTCTTAAGCAAGTTTTGGTATCTTAAGTCAACTGGTTTAGTTCTTAGGTGCTGGCTTGGCTTCATTTGTCAGTATAACTTGCTAATGGTAGGCTAGGCGAAGTCGGAGGTTGTGGAATCTCAGTCAGCTACTGCGAGGCAACACTCTGGTTCCCGCTACCCGAACTAACTGACTGTCGAACAGCCCGAGGATGTTCATTTAGATTGGTACCGACCAAAACCCGGTGTGGGGCCAGACGCGGCCTGGGGTTCTCGATAAATCTCAATTCAAGCTAGTCTCCTTAAAATTATAACCCAGAATTTTTGTTTACAAAATTCTCCTTTTTCCCATTGGCCAAAATTTTTACGAATTCCATGTTGCCACTTAAAATCTATCATATCTTTTGGTCACTCAGAATCTACTTAGCCAGCACTCTTTACCGATTCCATCAATCACTGTCAAAGTTTGCCATCTGGTCCCTTCATGAAGTTAGCTTTTACTGGAACCCTTGGCTCCTTGAGAAATTAAATTCCTTATCTCACCAAATCACAATTCTTCCACGCTATCTTTTCTCATGCCCAAAATTTTATCATCACCATATTGCTACTCAACGTCTTGTCGTCTGAAAGCGACACTTTGGTAAAGTAAATAATAACAATCCTCTCCCCCTGTATCTGGATAAATTTTTCTCATGCCAAAATTCCCACAAATACCATATGGCTTTTGCCTTGACGGCACTCAAGAAAAAAATAAATGATATCTTGGAAAGATAATTAATATTGATTCTCCCTACCCCGTATCGGCAATCGTCTCAGGCCAAAATTTTTATGACCGCTATGTGGTCTACCCAATATTTTAATGCTTTGGCTTTTCTTTCTGAATTCTCATATTTCCCTCAGCAAGGCATTTCTTTACAAAATTATTAATCAATTTGACAAAATCTCAAACATGGCTTCTTTTCCGGGTTTACTGTCTTTTGTGAAAAGTAACTTTTTCATAAATAAAATAAAAAATTTTTAACATCAAACGTTATATCTTTTGGGATAACTTCTTTCCACCCTCAGTATTTCTTGTTTTAATTTCTATGGTTAATTAGTTATCCAATTACCATAGCTAAATAGTGTCACACATGCAACAAAACAATTTCTCATTTAACAGTTAAAATATTCCATCCTTGAAAATGAGTAAATGTATAGCCGAAAGTGCTGTGATAAAAAGAACATTTGGACAGTATTTATATAATTTATCTGAAAAGAAAAAAAATTATAAGATCATGAGAAATTATATAAAAAATAAATCAAAGCACCTTGTCTGTCATATTCAATGAAATGTGCATAAAGGAAGGATTGCTGCCTAAATACACACACACATACATACATACATATATATGAAAGAAACAGCAGAGACATATCATTTATAGAAAAAAAATCTAATTTCAAGTGCAATCAATATATATTTTGCTACAATGCATGAAATATTTGTTCATGAAATTAGTCTGAAATGTTAACTTATTTTATGATGTATAAAGATTTTTTTTTCTTTTTCTTTCAGAAAGCAGAAGATCGGCCTTCTTTTAAAAATATTCTTTCTTGTCTTCTGGAAATTTTGGAAACCTTTGTTTCATAAAGGGCACAAGCTTAAGCCTATTTATACAGGTCAAGATCATTGGACAATGAAATTTGTATTGATTCATAAAATGGAAACTATTTTCTGATGAGAAGCTAAAATGTTCTTTTATGGTAAGACAAAATTCCTTCATTTGATCTCGACCAAATTACATATTGAGAGAAATAAACATAGTTATAGCTTCAATCAAGCATATTCAGATATTTTATTTTTTCTCAGAATATGTTCTCTCTATATATGCACATAATTTGCATATATAAAAAATATTTCTCTTGTTGAAAAATATAAATATCAGCATCAGTATTTATATATAATTTTTTCTTTTTTCTGCTTGTTGAGTAAAAATGCAAATGCTATCCAAATATAAAATAAACTTGCAAATTTCTCTTCATCACACTTTCCAATTTTAACTGAATATCAGTTAAAATCTTTTCAGTAATGTATGCATGATGGTTAGAGATTTAGATAATAGAATTTTATTTATTACAAAGGTAAATTGTAAGTAATGCACATATAATACATTTTGGAATTAGAAAACTCCTTATTTTAAAGCAAATAAATTTGCTCTTTCTTCAAGATTTCTTTAGATTTAAATTTATATTTTTTTAAAATAATTTATTGCTGCTTATCTTAGCAGCAATAAATTATTTTTTTAGACAAACATTTTTTTGTTTTTTCTAGTCAACATCTCATCTCCAAAAATAGATACAAGCTGAAACATCAAATTTCTCTGTTCAATGTTTCAAGTGGTACAACTTCACATTTTGGCTTTATTTCCTTTATCTCAGAAAGAGATAAAATTGAAGTTGTTCTCTGATAGAATAAACCAACATTTATTTACATATATAATAATTGAGTATTTCAAGCATATTCATTCTATTTGCAATTGTACATTCACTTAAGGTTACAATTGTTTTGTTCCATAAATCTAAAAATGGAGATGAATTTTTTTCATCTCAAAATTGTGAATGCAGAAGTGTTTGTAAGGCATAAGAATATTCATGCTGTAATATAAAAGCAATGTTGGTGTTAATTTATAAGAGTTATGTAATGCATAATTCACACAAAGCTTAAAAATGTCATACATTTTATTTCTATTTCTTGAATATTAATTTGGAACACAATTTGTTTAAAAATGCAATTAAAACATTCCTTTCTACAGATAATGGCAATGATGTAATTTTTTTGAATTACAACTAATTAAAATTTCTTTTTCATGAATAAAATAACATTTTAAATTTCCACAACTGTTACTTGTTTATTTTGATTTAGTCAAGAAAGAATGTCAATATTTGCTTTGTGTATGAAAAAAAGCTTAAAATATATATTTTTATATTTAAAAAGTATGATTTTAATGATTAATTTTCTGGTGAAAATAAGTATTTTATACCTAATTTAATGTCCAAAAACAAGAAAATTTAATTCACTGCACGGTTTTAAATCTTATTCTTTTGGCATTCAGCTAGTGATCACAATTTGAATTATTTGAAATCTTTATTTTCATTAACGTTTTTAAAAGATTTTTTTTTGAATGACTATTTTCAAATTAAAAAAAAAAAATTAATATAAAAGATATTTCTTAAATTTTAACTGTTACTTTTTTTAAGGTAATTTTTGTCATTTCATGCAAAGTGTCCTTTTCTCAAGTCCTGTTGATGACAATGTTCATATATAATGCTGGCTCCTGTGCCACATGACAATGCCATCCTGTCCTTGGTTACTGGTGTGTCTGTGATTGAATCTTGCAGCTAAACCATGAAGTTGGTCATTTTGATCCAAGCCTTTCCCTGCCCTATGTTGTGTTTGTTTTAATCACAATGTAGGCCAAGATTGAAACGTTGCCAGATAATCACTGGATTGGTGTTGTTCAGGCAGGATAACGTTATAAGACAAAAAGAAAAAAAAAAAATAGGGAAGTTATGTAGATGAACAAGGTTTAATATAACTGAGGAAAAAGGAACACATTGTTTATAAGAATCTACAAGCATGCAGGTTAACGACCATTCCCTTGTAGTCTAATTTCATGACACTTTGTTTTTCATTTCCAGGTTGGAGTCCCTTCTTCAGGCAGTAAATTACAGAATGCTGATGAAGCACTTGTCTCCCTCTCTCTTTCATCACAGAGACTTTCAATTCTTCCACTTTGCAATTTCATCAGGACACTGACTATCTACTAGTCTGAAACGAGTCAGTTCTTTGTGGCAGCAAATCACATAGGGATTGGTGAAGTGATCGTCTCCTCTTGGCATAATGGAAACACGTTTGCCTCAACTGTTACTCTGTCTGTAATTCCCCCCTGATCTAACTTTTATAGCTCCTCAATCAACATTGGTGGGGTCCGAAGCGATCTGGAGTTCCAAAATATCCAATCCGAATTGTTGCTGCCTGGAAAGCAATTTGCTTGTCCAAATTTGGGGAATCCTTCCTCTGGAGAGTAGAGGTAGCAGGGTGTCGACCTGCTCCACTTACTCCCTCCTTCTCTTATTTGTATCTTATAACAACACCCCTCAATGGGTGTAGTCTGTTTTCTCTAACCAATCTAGCATGCATTTTTTAATTAAAATTATCCATCTCAACCTAACATAAGCAGAAATGTCTTATCATAAAATGTTTTTTTTTTTTGATTTTTCCAGATTTCCCCATCTTGGATGATAATTATTTCTTTCCTTGTCTTCCAATTGACCAAATTCTTCATTTGAATTCTTTAAAGAAATTCCTTCAGCGACACACACATCTTCCACCTATGTCAACAAGTAACATAGAATTATTTCTTTTCCCTCTTCTTCCCCTACTTGTAGCCATAAAATAATCTGCAATTAGCTTGGCAGTCTTTGTCAAAAAAAAAAAAAAAATCCCAGCTCTGGTTGCTTTGCAGATGTTATACTCCACTCACATCATCCCTTGGGCTTCACTTTAACCAGATGCTTAAGTGGATTTCAGCACTATCTTCTAGTTAGGTTCTTTACTCACAAAATGAGAAAACAAGATAAAAGTATATTTTCTCTTGTTTTCGGTATGTCCTTCATCTTTGTGTTCACTTTTGATTTAAGCGTTTTTTCTTCAAATTATTAGAATTCTTAGTGTCTCATTGTATTCAAAGATAAACATGGAGTCTCTTCAAAGCAACACTGGCTTTTGAAATCCTGTTGTTGACCATGGCGTCAGTGTTGATAACTTCCAAAATAAAATAAAATCCTCAAGTACAGAATATGCTCCTTTCAACAACCAACATGTTTTTTTTAATTTTGACTCAAAAAAAATGCTTCCTTTTTTTTTTTTTTTTTTTTTTAGAACACAAAAGTTTATAATTATTTTTCCACTCATTCTTTACCCACTTATGCTACACTCATGTCAATCTATATTGGCAACAATGAAGATATGAAATCATTTAACAGCAACCTATCAAACAAGACAGGTACAATGTAGTTTTTTAGAATCAATGAGAAAAGATAAGACTTCAACAGCAAAATCAAGAATAAATTTAAAGACTGACTGAAATAACTGTTGAGGAGCATTCAAGATCTTGTACAGAAGAGAGAGAAAGAGAGGAAAAAAAATAGATGACATTAGCAAGGGTTCTAGCACAACTACTCTGAGAACACCAGCAGCGTGCATGAACCTGTGATGAATTAACTAAAGCTAAATGAGAATGATGCTCACATGCTTTGTGTAGACATGACAGAAAAATTTAGATATGACTGGTTTCAGGGATTCAAACCCTATAGCACCCCACTCCTCATGGCCCTAAATAATAGGAGGCAATGTCAGTGTGACAATGGTCATGGGAACTGGGAAATTTGGGGCCTTGGCCTATGTGTACTTGTATAGGCATCCTACATTAAAAAAGAGTATGGGTCATATCAGTGTTTCACAATTCAGTCTTTGTGTGAGATTAAGTTATAGAATTGACCTGCTTGCAGAACAAGCTATTTTGGCCAGGAATTTTAACAAAGCTGATTCTGGAATTTAACAGCTCAGTGTCTGTGGTAGAATGGGTGGAAAAAGCATAGCTGATATATTGTGGAGTAAAGTGTAGTCTTGCCCCTTTGCCTGACTGAAGAAGTATTTATCATGTATCAACAGTTAAACCACAACCAAAAATGTTTGTAAGACTTACCCTAGCACTTTTCTAGAATTGCATTAGTCCAGACCACATAGCTAAGAGTGTCTGAATAGAAGATGAGGAGATTGCATGTGCTGCTGCCACTGCAAAGAGTTGGGCACATGGCTTGTGAGTGTTCAGGAAAAAAAGAAAGTACAAAATGTTGGCACTGTTCACTTCCACAGGCAAATGGGAATGAAGCCCTACAAATTACCTCCATTTATACTGATTCAACTCTTCATAATTCAAGGAGCTCTTGCTCTATAATGAGTGCAAAGCTGTGGCAGTCTTAGCCAAAGAAAGATGTTGAAGTGACCACAATAAATGGTGAAATGTGAGCTTGCTGCAAAGTCAGTATGGTTGGGATTTGCACAGAATCTGGCAACACTGCTGAATTTGATGTGCTGGTAGTGCATGAGAGGTCATTAGATTTCAATTTACTACTTGGGATTGACGCCATCCAAACACTAGACAGTGTCCGTATAACACAGAGGAGACATGATTTTTGAGGAGAGAACACCGTTCTGCATGACTGTAGAATTCAATAAGCGACACGCTATCTGGACTGCAATGTGGAAGTAGACAGTGGGCCTGAGAAATTAAGAAATAGGGTTTTGGAATATCCAACTAAGAGCAGAGTATGAAGATTAATTGCAAGCTTGCCTGGATAAAGAATGGCTTCTGCCATATCCAAAGGAAGAACTTAGCCATGTTTACAAAAAGAAAAAAAATATCCCTGAAACCTATCAAAAATCTTTACAGTGCCTAGGAACTTTCTGTTAAATATAGTTGCATTGTGAAGACTTACCTCACTTCTCTTGGAGCTGCTTGGGGAACTTTAAATGCTCTGCTATTAAAGTCGTCAGTGAAGACGACTTTAATAGCAGAGCATAGTTTATAAAATCAAGATAACATTGGACTACAAAAATTCAAACATTTAAGGAGTGGGAAGATGACTTCTGGAAAATAAACTGAAAATTTGGTATCTCATGACAGATCTAGATCAGGAGGAGGTACTGGCAGTAACTTTACCACTTATTGGTAAAACAAAGAAACAGCTTTAAACAGTGGATCTAAATCAAGAGAATTAAATGGACACTAATGTAGTTGATTTATTTATAAAAGAATCAATTATTATTGCTTATGAAGCATACAAAAACTTTGATGATTTTCAGAGACATATATATATATATATATATATATATATATCTATCAAATTATATTTATATTGTGAAATTTCAAAGATAAAGTAGAATCACTAAATATAAAATGAATTTGCCTGATGCAGTGTTAGCCTTCAGATTTTTATACAATGCTAATCTAAACCAATGACAATTCATTCGAATTGTACATGTAAATCAACTGTGAAAAGGATATATAGTGAAAATAACTGCACAGGTCAAAACAAAACTGGATTAAATTGATGTTAAACAAGAGACAGCAATGCCCACGAAATGAAAATCAAAGCAAACTTCATAAATCCCAAATAAAAATAAAAAGAATCCCCTGAAAAAATTTGATGAACCCCTTAAATGTCAAAATGTACTTCATTAAGGGAAAGTCCATAAGGAAATGATTAAATCAGAATGACAGAAAACTACAAAAACTAATGAAAAGTCTAACATTACATTTTATACTCAAGGTAGAAATTCAGGATTTTTTTTTAATCATTTCACCCTAAGCAAGGCAATAAAGCCACAAGTATGCAAGAGGTTACTGAGCGTTAGAGAATATGAGAAAAATTGAAAGACAGTATAATAATTATCATTACATTTAAATTTTTGAAATACAATTTCATTTAATATATTATAAATTTTACCGTTAGGCATTATTTGAATTTAGTAATCATTTATTTTTAATTAAATATAAAACCAAAAACACAACTCTTAGGGATTTGGGCATTTTGTATAAATTTCTGAAACTGTCTAAAGTGTTAAAAGAAAAGAAAAAAAAAAGAAAAAAAAAGAAGGCTTTTTTTATTAATTAGTTGATTGTTTTAAACAGTGGGCCAATACAAATGTGATAGCGATGGGGGTTTAACTAATTATTTCAAGTCTTTGAAAAATGTTGGAGTGGCTTGATTGTATTACAATAAACTTGTTGCAGCAAGCAGGTTTTCATGCCTTCCTGTCTTCAAGGAAGCTTAACACATCAGCTGGTAAAGTATTAATAAAGTGAAGTTCTTTTTTTAAGAAAAGATTAATGAAAATTTGTCCAGTAAGATATGGGAATATTGATTTTTAAGTGGTTTTGTGAAAAATTGGTAATAGATTACCAGAGGATTTGTCTGGTGGGAAAAGGGAAGAACTGACTTCAAATAATTTTGTGGAATATGGTTTTAAAGAAATCTTACTGGAATGTATACAGTGAATTTGATGTGATTTTTCTTTTGAAAATTACAGAAGTTTTGGTAGTGGTTGGTTTATTTCCAGTACAATTTACTTGTAGATCAGTTGTGAATTGAAGTGGCAAAGGGTAAACAGGAAAAATTTACACGACTAAGAAAAAAAAGATAAGTTAGTTTAGTTGTGTGTAAAGTAAATTTTTTTTTCCCTGGGAACTTGGATTGATTCTAACTATGGCATTATTTTCACCTTCCATTCCCGTGTGAATGTACAACAGGACTTTCCCAATTTTTATTCACACCAACACAAAAGGGAATCTCATTGGTTACTCTAGTCAGTGAAAGACAGAGCTTTGTGCTTATGCTTAGATACCCTAGAAAATTCAGAATTGGTAACCTATAACCTTTAACAAATAAACTATGTATTTATTTTTACAAGAATGTTTTCTGTTCTGAAAGTCGTTTTCTTTTATTTTACTTGTAACTTATTCCCTGCCCCTCATGAAGATTAATCGGCAAGGATGCACCATGCCAGTTGGGACTTGCGGTGCATCCTATCTAGATAATGTCAGCAAGATAAAAATAAAAGTTCTAACTTTGGACAACAAAAATAAAATAGAACTATGTGTTTATTATGTATAAGTTATCTTATTCTTTGTAAAGAATACTAAGTGACTTAGATTTTGTGAAACAAAAAAAATGTTGTAGTTTAATGCCACAGTCTGCATTTTTCCACTGTCTACTTTGGTAATCCTACACAAACACAGCATTTTATGGAGTTAGTCCTTGACCAACAAGAATACCAGCACATGAGAAAGTATTATTACTGTTGACTTATGTCAACATTGCCTGCTCTTAAAATCATAGAGTTTTTAAATATAAATGTATGCATATAAAGTTAAAAGATTTTCATTTATTCGTAGTAGTTGTGAAGGAGAAAATCTTAAGGAACAAAATTAAAAGTGATAATGAACAGTAATGTTTCTCTGAACAAATGGCATCCAGTGTTTCTTATGCGAATTTGAACAGTTACTCAACTAGATTTTTCAAAGATTTAAGTTTTTACAGATTTTTTTTTTGTACTTTTCATTTGTAGAATTCCTGTTTTTTTCTTGCTCAAACAGTATAGTACATCTTTATTCAAGTTTAAGGGTTGATTTCATATCAATAATTCACAAAGATGGTTTTATTTACCAATTGGCTGTGTGATTTTGTGCATGTACAGATGAGAGCAGAAAGGCTGTTGGTGATCATTATCATTGATACCAATTCAATATCCTATAATTATTTAAAAATTACAAAAGGGTAAATAGGTTTATAATCTTTATTATCAATTGATTTATAGAGCTGATAAATAGGACAAAAGATAACAGAACAGAAACAGAAAAATCAGAGATTGTATACTGTCTTTCATGGAAACATTAACAGAGAGAGAGAGTGAGAAACAAAGAAAAAAAAAGTTGGGGAGGCAGTTGTTGATGTAAACAGTTCAGAATGTATAAAAATCTTGGCGTTATCTGCCAGAATCAATACCATTAATACAGAATTCACAGGACAGGAGAAAAAAAAAATTTATCAGGAGTAATTTTCAATAATCAAATTTTAAGACATTCATGGAATAGTTTTCAACATACAATCTCTGAATTTTTTGACTGATCAACTGACAGAGATAAATAAGAAAGTAATCACTAGATTGAAGATATCAGATCTCTCTCATCCTTCTGCCTTTAAAACTTGAACTAGTTAACAAATTTTGACAGGCCATTGGTCATGGATGTAAATGAAATAACTTGGAAAATTCTTTCAATTACAACCAGACTTAACTTTGGATTAATTTTCAAAACTTCATCTAATGCCAGATTGTGAGTAAACAAATCTTGAATATCAGTTGCTGAATATTTGACAAAATAACAGCCAATCTAATTAGAAATGTTCAATACTTACCATTTTTAAGATTCTAGAACATGTTCACATGTAATATTTAAACTTAAAATAGAAATGCAAAATAAAATAAACTACAAAGAATTTGCCAAATAGAGCAAAAGGAAGTTCACTTTTGGTTTGCATACAATACTAAAGCAATTTCAAAATGAGAAAAGGAATAGAATTCATGATCTGGATTGAAAATAAACGAATACCAGAAAATCAAATCCAATAAGACACTTCATGTCCATTTTATTAGATAGATAGATAGATAGAGAGAGAGAGAGAAAAAAAAACAAACAAGATTTGAATTTTCAGATTCAGACCAGAAAGTTTACAAGTATGTTAGGTGGAATGTGTTTTGTGATAAATTTTCCTTTGCCTTATTTTAAAATAAATATTGACTGGAAATCAGGTGCCACATTTTTACATTGTATTTGCACCCAACTAAATGAGAGCTGACTGCATTTCAAACATGCACACACACACACAGAGAAAAACAGGCATTTTGGTAAAAATTACAATACTGAAAAATTTCATTTTTTTTTTTATATAGACAAACATTAAAGAAAAATACATTTCCCTTTAAAACAAAATTAAAAATTGAAGAGGACATAAGTTTTATGTGAAATATCTTACTTTTTTTTATTAAATATCTAAGTCATTTCATTTATTAACCACCTATGGCATTTCTATACACAGAACAGTATTTCAGCTAAGCTGAATATTAAACAGACCCCTCTACAAAATTTCAAAAAACAGTTAACAGCTTAAATCCCTAAAAAGTACTGCTGCCAAAACAGCTCACTAAATCAAAGATTTTAAATAAATTTAAATAGGGAAAACTTTATTTAAAATACCATTAAACATCTGCATGTGGGGGTGGGGGTGCTTAAAAATTTATTAGGCCATGCATAAATTTTTAAGACATCTCCATTGGCTAAAAAAAACAAAAACAAAAACAACAAAAAAACTGAAAATTGAATAAAAATCCAAAGTAAATTTAAGCAAAATTAAATTTAAATTTAAAGTAAGCTGTTTGTCACTTGAATTTAATAATTTGAAAAAAATAAATCTAAATGTAAATTTAGTATAGAATATTTTGAGAGATCATATTTTACCCTAATTTCATTGCTTGAATATCCAAGAAAGGCACACAAGCTACTCCCATATTAGGAATCAAATACCAGAGTAAAATTTAGCATTTGCGTTATTTTACATCAGTCATTACTTCTCTTAACTTCCAACATTCCTGCATATGGAAAGATGTTAACCAACACAGAACAAGAGAAAAATAAGATATCTTCTATACAATCAGAGTATTTGATCACATGTCACAGAAAGTGTGAAAGAATGAATGAATGAACCAGATTTAAATATAAACTATATATATATATATATATATATATATATAAATGCCTATTGGTTTGAAAATCTTAAGTAGAAAATCTAATTTTTCATGTACGGGTGAAGAGAGCAAGGAAGGATTTTAGAGCTAATATACTGATTGAACAACTGGTATACAAATTATGTAAAAAGGAAAAATCCCAAACAAACATTGAGATGAAATAACATTTTCTTATTAACAACAACAAATAAAACTTAATATATCACCAATAATAATTATAATAATGAAAAAAACATGAAATTAAAGAAAAAAAAACAAAACAGTTGGTAGGGGAAGGGGGTTGAAAAGAATTGTACTTATTTGTACTGATTGATGAATTATCTCCCTATTTAAAAAATATTTTTGCAGTCTCTGACCAACTGGTGAGGTGTGCTGAGGGTATAAGCTAATGTGAAAAACATGATCTTTATCACATAGAAAAAAAGAATGGAGTGTAGGGGAGGAGATGAAAAAAAAAAAGTAGGAAGGATAAATAATTGGTAATTATTAACATCTGGTCTTGATGCCTCCTTTTTTCCAATCTAAATGTAATCAATGAATGGGTTACAATAGTCATTTAAAATTGACTATTGACTTTCTGTTGGTTTTATCTGTGTAGGCAATTATACAGATGTCATTTGTTGTCCTCACTTAGTTGAAACACACTTCACAAAAATGTTTCTGAACTTGTTGCTGCAGCAAAAGTCCTGGTTACTGCACAATCAAGCATTCTCAGTCCATGACTTAATGGAGGGATGGAAAGAAAGATGTAAAATATCTATTCTTTTCTTGGGCGCCGCCGTCTTTCAGTTCTGAAGAAAATTGAAAAGCAAAGCAAAATTAACTTTTACAACAGCCATTAATTTTATCTAGCAAACTCATAGTACATTCTGTTTTAATGAACAGTTTGAATAATGTCAATTATTTTTATTTTTTTATTTTACAAATCTCCAATTTTAGAGGTGGAGGAATTAAAATTTTAAATTTATCAGTACCCACCAAATGAGATTTATTGCTTGAAAATAGAGCAATTGTGGCACAAGGCCAAAAAGGGGGAATGGGTCGAGGCTGGTTGTCACTATCTTATAACTAATCTGATTCATGACCCATTCATTTGTTACAATTTACACATCCACCATAAATTTCTGACAATCTGCTTGATTGTTTTTAATTCTATTTTAACATTGTAGTCATTATCAGATTGAAAAAACATCCACAGTTCAAAAGAAATGTTTAAAAAAAGAAAAGTAAATGAAAATGAAAATTAAGGCAATTGGGCAAACTTATAAATTTCCTTAAAGGAAAGAAAATAAAGGCAAGCTTTGTTGTGTGTAAATAGTGTTTTCTAATAAAAGAAAAGTTAGTTCCTGTTTCTAAATTCAAAGTGACATTGCCAATCAAAATAATTTTTTTTCAGACATACTTCTTAATCGCTACAGAATCTTGTAATTTATAGAAATTGCAGCTCTGTATATTCCGCATTTTTCTAAAAAGTGTTTCTTAAATAGCCTGGTATTTGATATCTTGAAAACATGTCTCTTTAACACGTGTAATTGATTTTTTTGTGAAAACTGAAAGAGGAACAAAAACATCTGATCTGCAAAAGATTGTCCTTTGGGTATCAATAGGAATGTATTGTCAATGCACCTCTATACTTCCTGCTTTGAGGTGCTGAAAAGTTCTTGATGTGACCAAACAAAATGTTTGGTAACATTTCCCCATCAGACTAAAAACTTTTTCAACAGTCCTTGTAAATGTTTTAAATTATCCACACACACAAAAAAAAAAAAAAAAAGCAAAGTATACCAATTGTATTTTGCCAAAGATTTTTGTGAATTTTTCATAACCATTTTCAGTAAAATCTTTTTCGTACATCAAGTATATTATATATAATGTACTATTCACAACATAAATGGACATTGAATATAGAAAGCTTAAAACTAGTTTTCAACTGCATGTTCAGTTTAGTTTTCAAAAATGTACTTGATAAGATTTAAATTAATTGGTCTTTTGCTAACATTTCAAATCTATTTTATAAAATATTAAAATTGTTAAATGTTAAAAATTCATAACTATCAAGTTACAATTATTACTATTTAAAAAAAAAAAAAAAAAAATTATATCTTTATGAGAATCCAATTTTAAATGTTAAAATTTGTGGCTTAATTTCCAGTACCTTGCAAATGTCAACATGAAATGTGATGTATTTAAAACTTTCAATTTTTATACACTTCCCTTTCCAGAAATTTGAACTGTTACATGTAAATTCAACTCCAGGAAGCAAAGCAATTTTTTTTTTTTTAAAGCTAAGGAAATCCTAATGATAATACTCATTAATATCTTGAATGTCTAAGTTCCCATAGTGTGGAATACAAATCCAATATGAAGCTTCTACAATTGCTCAAATTCCAGCAACAGTTCAAGAATAGTCATGCTAAATTAATAGATTAAATATGTGTTCAAAAATAAGAATTTGTATAATTCTAATGATTAGCGAAAATAAGAATGAAGTGAAAGTCAGGTTAATAGGCAATAATATATAATGGCAAAAAGGCAATAATATAATGCCAAAACGATGTCCCCCCCCTCTAACTACTAATGACACTGCTTTTTAACTATTTCAGCTATGTTTATTGTTTTAAAAAGTGATGATTAGAATTGGAATAAAACCTAAATGTATGATAAAAGTGAATTTATCCTATTTTTTTTATTTTTGAGAATTTACAACAAAAATATTAAACACTATTTACTAGATTGTTTATTTACAAGAATAATTTTATATTTATATTCTAAAAACCAATACAATGTGAAAATGTTTTATTCATAAATTTATAAATATTGACTAAATTAAAACGTGAACCAACTATAAGGAAATCCTTATTTACCATTTTATAAAGTTTAAATTAATTAGCAGTTAGCCAATGTTTTACCAACTATTCCAATAAACGATTTAATAAACAGTGTAAATAAACAATCTAATAGTGTTTTTGTTGAAACTTGTCAAGAATAAAGAAAATGTATGAATTCACTTTATTACAATTCTAATCATCTCTTTTCAAAATAAACATTGCCAAAGAGTTATTGTAAGCACATTTGTCCACGTTTTCCAAAATACTAAAGGAAATATTTAAAACCATTGAATAACACTCTTTCACAAATTGCACTATTTTATAAGAAAAAATTGAGCAAGAATAAAAACTATAAAGTGGAATAAGTGATTTTATAGGCAGAAGATAAAAAGATTTAAAAAAAAAAAATTTCTTCTACTTTTCATTTTAATTGTCTATTTTCATATTGAATAGTTTCATTATACAGCTTATAATTTTAGAAGAGAGGGAAAAAATGGTGGGTGAGGTAGAATTTTTTAAAGTTGAAAATTAAACAAAGAAAATTACTATTAATAATAAAAATTTATACAAATTTATCCTTTGGAAAAAAGGTTCTTGAAAAACAAAAAATATTTTACTTTGGTGCTTCCACTTCATCTGCACTATCAACATTTTCAGTTTCCTGAAAAGATAATAAAATAGCATAAATATATTTCCAATATAGTTAGTGATTTTTTTTTCTATATGAATGATTGACATTATTTAAAATAGCATGGGCATGGTTACTTTGAGTGGATAAAATACACAAAATTAACGAGTTTTTACTTTTCTATTATGAGTATTCCCACTTGAATAGCAAACTGATTACTGCTCCTCACTTATCAGAACTATTTTTTTTTTATGCACAATTGACAAAAAAAAAAAAAACTTCATGGAATAGAATAAAGTAGTCTGTATCAATAATATAATGAAAATGAACACATTTTAAAGGCAAATTACACTGTCACACCCAACCATTTCTTCTGTTTACATAACTTGACTTAAAAATAATTTCTAAGACATTTAGAGATAAATGACAAGTGAGGAACTGATTAGCTCACAATTTTTTCTACTTTCATATTAAATTAGTGCAGTTGTTCTCCACTTTTTAACTTCAATTTTGTCTGTCTTGCAGTTTGTATATACTTCTTTCTAAATGATTTTGTGAAAATAAACATTCACCACAATTTTAATCATTTTAGTTCATATTTTCAAACTTTCCAGACAGACTAGAGATATACAAAATTGCCACCTCAAAACCTATAGCTGTTATAGCTTTTACATTCAGAAAATTGGTTTCTAAAGGACTTTGATATTTGTTATTGCTTGTAAATATTATAAAAATATGACTGCATTCTGATTAGCAGTTAATTATAAATTTATTGCCAAAAATACCTATTCAAAATAAATTGAATTGTAATTTGATTGGCTATAAGAAAAATAACAAACCTTCTCAGCCTCAAGATCTCCCTTACTGGGTTTTTTAGATTTAGATTCAATTTCTTCTTTTTCAACCTTATTCTCCTCCTCCTCCTCCTCCTCTTCCGATTTGTTTTCTTTCTTTTTCGTTGATTTTGTTGTCTTGGCTTGTTCTATTGGTTCACTATCATCAGGACTTGGAGCATCGGTTTTCTTTTGTTCACCAACTGCATCCTGTATACAATGTGATACAAAGTATAACCTGTATTTTAAAAATTGTTTTGAAGTAAATGTTCAATTTCTTTTTGTCAGATATTGTTAGGTTATGTTGACGTAACTTTTAAATAGCAATTCTCCTGGGTAATATATTATGATAGAAGAAAATTAATTTTTTGCTTTGAGCAAAAAAAAATAAAAAAAAATGAAAAAACAAAAACACATTAAAGAGCTATTCTTCTGCAATTTACATTATCAACCAGCAATACAAAAACATTGAATCAAGCAATAAACAAAAATATTAGCACAAACTCCTCAATACATATATTATTTACAAAGTAGGCAGTAAACGAGTGAAGATTTTAAATCCCATACTTTAAAAATCCAGTAGGGTCATCAGATACATAATTTTCATAAATTTCTTCAGTTTTGTTCTCAATGGCATTGTGACAAAGTTTGGTTAAGACCACCAGAGTATACTTTCTAAAACATTTTTCTGATGCCTTCATTGATATGTGCACAGAAGCCATCAAATATAAAAGTTTTGTTGAAAAAAAATTAACTGATTGTCATTGCCAAACCTTGTCAGCCCAGACTTTCATGTCATCTATCAAGCTGGCCTTTTTGTTGACAATGTATGACTATTTTGAGGGGAATTATTCTTTGGGTATAGTTTTTCTTTTAAATATTACAGTGGGTTGTAATTTCTTACTGTTTCTGAGCATTTGAGCTCAGAGACTAGAAAGAAATTGCAAAAGCACTTTGAAATATTACCATGGGTTGCTTGTTGATATCTGTATGCTATGGACACCATTTGAATCATAAATTTGCCATAAATTTACAGAAACTCTTTGACTAAATCAACATGAAGGGCTACCAGTACAATCTCTTTTGCAAATTTCTTAGTATTCGATCTGATCACAACCCTTCTCACTGAACATTTGCTATTTTTAATAAGTATTCACATTTTTAAAGTTCTTTCAAATTGGGATACTCAAAGTTTCTCTTGGGCTTCAATTTTAATCTATTTTCCTCACCATAGACTTAACGTTTTTTTCTTCTGCAAAAGTTGTCTTTCTCATTTTTTGAACATATTTTCACAAATCAATGATCAATATAAATTCATTACTGAAGTGAACAAATCTTGAATGAAAAATTTAATTCAATTAGCAGTGGGGAAAATTGACTTCAAAGCTATTATCAACAGTGAACCATGAGTAGAGGGAGGATAATTTCAATTATTCCCATGGTCACCTATTTGTTGAAGTAACCACTATCACCATTACATGTCGAAAATTTCATCAAAATCTGAAATGGTACCCATGGGTTTATTAGTTGAGTTGATATGCAATTATATAATAGCACAGTGAGTGCTGATAGTAATAAAACAGTGCTTGATATAACAGAACTAAAAATTATACTAATCTTACATTTGTTTGTCAAATAAGGAATTTGGTGAAAAATTCTTAAAAAAGACTGAATTAAAAAAAATAAATATACAAACTTCATTAACTAAAAATTATACAAAAAACAAACAAAAACAGTTATCGTCATATAGGTTCTCTTGAGGTAAAAGAAATATAATACTAATGAAATCAATAATTAGATCAGACCAGATTAAATGGGGAAAGTTACATTTTTCAAAGATGAAAGTTAAAATATGAAACAGGAAGGCAATTTGACTGCTCACTTAAGTTTCATTTCAATACATGCCTTGCAAATTCTTTCCATGATACATAGCATAAGAGATGAAGTTAATTTTTTTTGTAGTACATCAATAAAAAAAAAACAAAAAACAAAACAAACTCATTTACACCAATATATATTAAATATTAGTTAATGAATCCAGTTTTAAATTAACCAACTGAAATGTTTCCCTACTGCATATTTTTTCTTGAGAATTTTTCTATTTTATTAATAGCTATAACTTATGACAATTGATTTTCATTGTAATTGAAGACAAAAGATAAATTGAATGATTTTTTTCAATCATATTTCTGCATACATAGCTAGAAAAGAAATTTATCAATAATGAGTTTACATCATAAATTCAAATAGGGTCAAGGAAACAAAAAAAAAAATTCTGAAAATGAGTGGTAAAATAAACATTCAAATTTTAAAGTGCTGCAAATTTCTGCAAGAAAATTGTTTTTATCAAATTCAATCAGGAATATTTGAATGAATTTGAGAAAGACTAGAAAGCAGATTTTTAAAAAAATATTTTGAACAATGTTTTTGTGTAGAGTGCTTAAAGCAAAAACACAAACAGTGGCTTGCACAGTGCTATTTACTTAGTTTTTTTTTGTTTTTTTTTTTCCCTTGTTTAAATACAATATCTAGATAACAGGGATACTTTCTTAAAAAAAAAAAAACTAATTTTAATAAAAATATTTTTGAGGAGAATTTTTTCATTTTACACTATAAGAATCTTTTTACATTTTGCCCTCCAATTTTACACCAATACCTGCAAATATCAGGACCTAAATGAGATTTTAATCTATTATAAACTTTTAGAAACATTGTACTAATGTGAATAAAAATATTTTAATCATTTTTTTTTATCCACATAAAATTCCTCATTTCATTAATTAAGCACTTAAAATCTTCATTTAAGGATTTACAGAATTTTTTTTCATTTGAGAAAAAAAAAAATTTTCTGTTAGGAAGCAAACAGTTTTACCTTCATTTGGATTGTATTGTGAAAGAATATCAGCATGCTGATAAATAAATTGTGTGTGTATGCATGTGTAATTAAAATTCCCAGCACTTCTCATTCATGTGTAATTACACCTGAAACAAGTGCTGGAAACACCAACTTTAACAAACTCAGTCTGACTGATGAAGCCCTAAAAGAACAAAACACGTCACATGGAAACTTGCTTCCCTCCCCACTTTGCCATACATATCCCCCCCCAATATTCACCTTGATATAAACATATATATATATATATATATATATATATGAAAATTTCTCTGATTTAACCAATAGAGAAGACAATATTAGATATGAGAGATAAAGAGCGATATGGATTGGATTAGATACTGGCATAGGTGCTTTACTACTTAATGAAAATATTTTTGCAACAAACTGCCATGAAACAAAAATGAATGTGGGCTCCAAGGAAGAGGATCTGCCACTAACTGTAGCAAAAGCCAGTTATCATTCATAGGAGGATTGGAAAGGAGTTCTCTATTATGAATTCTTCAGGAAAACCAAAGAAAGAATTCCAACATATACTGCCAATTAAACTAAATTAAAGCAATCAATGAAAATCAAAAGAAAAAAAAAGGGGGGTAATAATCCATTCTAGGTTGGTTGTATCTTATTCCAAACCAAAAATTATTTGTTTGGTTAGATATATATATATTTCAGGTGTCTTATATATTATTTTTTATATTATGCCTCTTGATTCCTTGGGGAACATAAGGCCACAACAACATCTCTCCAACGGAAAAGGTTCTGGGCAATCCTCTTCATTCAACTTGGCTTATGTCATGCCGACTCAACACTTCTGCAAGGCATCTGAATTAATTCTTTGCTAAGAGGTTTTGGAGAATGGAACTATGAAGTTGTTTACAAGATGGCAGAAGATAGTGTAACATAAACGGTAAATATGTATTTTTTTTTTTTTTTTAAATTAAAAAAGCTTTCCAGCCAACCCCCCCAAAAAAATTAGCTACAACTTTATCTTGTCCTTCAAAATGGATTAACTCCTTGCACTATTACAATGAAAATCAGAATGTATCCTTCATACTGTGAAACAAATATTTCTTCTTAAACAAGTAATTTTTGGTGCGACCAGTTGTCAGAATGACAATGATTATGCTAGGTGCATAAAACATGCAATTTATCTAAAAGGTAAAAGCAATACAGGATCACATAGATATTGATTTCACAACATAAACTCTACCTCTGTATTATTTCCTTTCGGCATTATATACAAAGACATTGCTATGACAGGCCCAAAAATGATCATCAAATATACAAGATATACCCATTTGTTTTTTTCAGCATATCCTCCTATACGGTCTGGAAGATCCATTAAATAACGTATCTGAAAATAATTAGTATTTTTAAATTGTTTCAAGGAAATCAAAGGGAAAGGAGACAAACTTGAGATGGCTTGAGCAAAACTAGAAGTACATTAACATTCTAAATTTTGAATTTTATCATTTAGAAAAAACATTTCAGATGAAAAGAAATAAAAATCTTAATTATTCCATCATGCTCATTCCATCTCGTTATAAAATCATTCACTTTTTACATTCCAGACAAGAGGGCCATTTGCATCATTCCATAGTAGCAGTATCAGCATGCTACATTCTGAAGAATGTTCACCTTACCTTTGTACCCCCACCTACACAGCAGTAGGCAATGAGCAGCACTATGGGCAGTAAGACAACAACAATGAACACGGCCCAGAGCCAAGGTCGCTCATTAGTCACATCAAGAATAGCTTGTATTACACTTTTCTGAAACACAGATAAATAGCATATTTAAATGGGAGCTTGATATATCAAGATAAGAAGCAGATGAAGTGAAAATGCTGCCTTTCATTGTTGATAAGTATCTTCATACATCAGGAAAAATTAAAATTCCTGACAGTTATGAAATTAAACATTATAAAAAAAGAAACCTACTTAATAGCAAAGAAAAATTGAACAATGTATAAAGTATGTTCAATTCACTAAAAAAGTATACATGTACAAAAAACAATGTTATAATTGTCATTTGATTAAAATGTATAAATATCAGTGTTAGAAAGCAGTTAGGATTTCTGTATACAAGGCATGCAATCTTTTTTATAATCTTAAGTTACAAAATAAAATAAAATTTAGAGCAATTATAATACATTTCTTTTTTTATACAAGTGGTCATTCTTGAATTATATCACTCTGCTGCAATTAAATACTGAAGTTACAAAAATTTTCATGTAGGTATCATGACATTTTTTAGACAATTTAAATATTATCAGTGCTTCTAAACTTTATTGAAAAACTGTAGGACAGGTAAGTTTTTGTTTTTTACAGCAATCATTTCCATACAATCATTTCCATTTGAATATCTGATGATTACATTATATGCAGCAACTGTATGCTTACTTTAAAACAAATGCAAGTAAAAATGCTGTGATGTGAATCAGCAAATGTGAATCAATGGGACAAAAACCTCAAAATAATTTTGTAAACAGCTTTCACAAGCTTACAATGGTATTATAGTAATTAGTGAAGCTTTCCAGATAAATAACAAATTTATATACTTATAAACTTAAAGAACTGAAAATATAGACATAGAAGCTCACATTAAGTAGTTTTAAAAAAATATTAAGTGTTTCAGTTAGCAATTAGACATTTAAAATTTTCAATATTAATTATTACTTCAGTGAATAGTGATCCTTATTTTGTGTCTTTCTGTAATTTTTACATTAAATATACTTGGTAATGCTTCGTAGAAAATTTAAAATATTTAAAAATTTAAAGTAAAAATACTTACTGCTGATGAAGAAGATTTCTCTTGAGCTAGTTTTAAATTAAAAGTATCTTCAGTCCATTTGGTTGCTGTTGCCATATTATCAGTGATAAGAATGTTATCAAACAAAATATTTTCTGTCATAGACCAAAGTTCAAAGCCTACAGCACCCTGAAATATTAATTCTTAGATTAATTTGGTAGAATAAAAAACTCAAATTTAAGCAGCCATGCAAATAATGACAAATCACTCTACAAGTGTTATTGGTACTATTTATCCCAGTACTACCTGCTGCATGGTCCAGTCATCAGCAACTAGTTCCACCACCAGAATTTTCAAGTGAGATGGGTGGCTAGATATTCAATCGGATTAAAAATAAGACATGTCAAAGGGCAGACAACCCTTCTTGTCTTGTAGGGAGTCAATAACTACTTAGCTCAATGTTATGAATGCAACTAGTGTGGTGATGACACAGCATTACTGAATAAAGGGCTTTGTAGACTGAAACCAACAGCCAGGGCAGAGAGTTCCCCAAATGAATCAACAGGCTGTGAGCAAGGTAAGTCTTTAAGCTGGAGAATATGGGCTGTGCTTTGATCTGAAGAAAGATGGGCCCAAGATACACTATGCATGAAAGAATACCTCTGAATTAGATATAAAGAGGCAGCTGGTCAGGCATTAAACTGCAAAGTTCAGCTACAACCACATCTGGTCAAAGAACTGATGACAATGCAAATGAAAAGTCAAATTACAACAGTAATTTTTCAAATCATAAAACAGTGATAGTAACATAATAGCACTCAAGTGTTTTATCTGAAGTCTGAGAATTGTTCTTAATGAATAAAAAAATTACAGTAACTGTATAGTCACACACATTTTCAATTAAAGAGTGAGTAACAGATTTTTTGTTTTATGCAAATAACTGAATTCTAAAGATTTGATCCTAGCCATTATTTAAATCAGTGAACAGATGTTTAATAAAAGCATTCACATCCTACAACTCTTTAATGTATGTAGAATATAAAAAATTTATTTCATAGAATTTCTTTAAAATTCATACATAACATTACATAAGCCTGCATCTGTGTATCTGTCTCTCAGTCGATTCACACAGTAATTTAGTCTAAAAGTACCAGATTGGAAACCCAAAATGGGACATTTCTAACTCTTCCTGCATGTTGTCACCAATAAACTTTCCAGGTAGTGGACACACATTTACTTATCTCAGTTTTGTAGTTTATGTTTGCGAGATGAAGCAACATTTTATTTATTTTTAGAGCAATGTGTAACCAATTAAGAATTTAATAGTACCCAATTTAACCTTTTCAGATTAGAATGGAGTGCTTTATTTATTTTTTAAGTCACAATTAATACATGCATTATATTCAAATATGCACATATCTATATGTAACATTTTAAAAAGTTTGAAAAGAGACTGCAAGATGTGAAAAGGAATGAATATCAGCATGTCAATTAAATCCATATTGTAAAAAGAAAGAATTCACTAGTTTAAAAGTATTGAAATAATACATAAGATATAAAAATGAAAGTGTTAATAAATAAAAGTGAGTCTTAGTTTCAGTGAAAAATTCTAAATTACTTTCTTTGTAGAATAAAAATGAATAAACAATGCAAAACTTACTATTGGCATCATCTTATATGGGTTGAGATCTTCAAAAAAGTTTGGATTAGGAATCATCCCTGGTTTCCATACACCCTGAGGAGGAAAAAGCATTTAAAATTACATGGTGAATGATGTTATCTACCATAACTGAAAAGATTTAGATGAAGGACTAAAAATATAAAGCTTAATTTAGTAGTATCCAAGATTTTGTTTATGAACAACTTACTTCCTAACCATTACAAAATTCCAAGTTGGAGTAGATTTTAGTATTAATTTCTGTTACACAGTTTAAGCAGATAATTTTAAACCTGCATCTTTAGCTCCTACATATCTTTGATGAACTAAGCAAGTATCATTCAATTGATCACAGAACTGAATTATTTTCAAACAGCCCTTTTCAAAATGTGTATGTACACATAATTTCATAATCTGAACTTACTTCCTTTTATGTCCATACAACAACCTTATTCAGTAACCCTCTACATTTAGTAGCTATTGGGCCTTGTATTAGATTAACATTTACTAACAGAAAAGTAGAGAGTATCTTCAATATAAACTAATTTCAATTGCTAAATATCAATTTTTACAGGAAACCAAAATAAAAAAATTATGCCATTAAATATTTATTCCACTAAATATGAACCATTTTGTTGCACACCTTTTCTCCATTTTTCCTTCAACTTAAACATTCCATCTTCCCAGAATTTCAGTGGTTTCTTGGCAATGAACTCATTAAATTGATTTTTATGTCATCCAAAGAATTAAAATTTTTACCATCGAGATTATTTTGCAAAGACCTGAATAAATGAAAATATGAAGGAGCAATGCCTGGTGTATATGGCGAGTGGGGTAACATATCCAAGCCAAGCTGCAGTAATTTTTGCAGTGTTGCTGGCCTTATCCTGATGGAAATCAACCTTTCCTGTTTGCCAATTCTGGACATTTTTCTTCAATTGCTGCCTTTAATTTGTCCAGTTGTGAGCAGCACTTTTTAAAATCAATTGACTGGCTCCTTGGCAGAAGCTCATAGTACAGGATTTCTTTCCAATCTCACCAGATGCACAGCATGACTTTCATAAGATGAAAACCTGCTTCTGATGTGGCTAAAGTTGGTTCATGTCGTTTACCCCAGGATCTTTCTTGCTGAACATTGTAAATGATCCATTTCTCATCACCCATCACAATTTGCTTAAAAAAGAATACATTTTCATTGTGTTTTTACAACAAATTAGAGATGAAATACGATCCAAAACATTCATTCAGATCATGTGGTACCCAAACATTGTAGCGATTTGCTTCACTAAGTACTTATGGATGGTGGATTTTGATAAATTTAATGTTTCTGCCAATTCTCGTGTTGTGTAATGCAGGTTATTCTCAATCGGTGTCTCGATTTTGTCGTCATCTGTGAGGGGTCTGCTTAAGGGTTTTTCATCAATAAGGCTACCAACTCTAAACTTAGTGAACTACTTCCATACAGTTCTCTCAGCTAAAGCACATACCTTTTTTTTGATGTTCATGAGGCCTTTTTGCCCTTACAGTATAAAAAAAATATCACGTGTCTAAAATTCACCTTATAATCTTCCATTTTCATAGGGATGCATAATTGATAAAAATTAAGTAATTTTAAACTTTCTTTCTCAAAAGATAGTTTGAAGTGTGCTCTAATCAGAAATGTAAGCATATTATAAATAAATTTGATGTGTTCTAATATGTTGGAACATTAACTACTAAAAATCAGCATGAACTTTCCAGACAACCCAATACTTCTTTATGTGCCATGTCCCTTCAAGACGTAGGCAATCATGGCTCTCCACTTGCCCCTATCCCTTGTAGCTCTCAACAAGTTTTGTCCCTCTGCCACCTCTCCCAGACCATGTTCTGTCATCCACTTGCTTAAGCCTGCCAGGTATGTCATGTGTCGCTTTTCTCTAGTCTTTCTTTCCCTCTATTCAAATTGTGAGTATCAGATTCCCCAGGCACCAAAAAGTAGTTAACAAAAATCTACTTTAAGGACTAGAATCTATGCTAATGTTCTTCCCTCCCCTGAATGGAGTGACCAATCAGAAAGATCTCTCGGTGAACAAAAGCCGTTGTTTTTTTGCTTATGTGAGGAGCCGATTTTCTGACCTTGGTGGATGAACGTGTTTTTTCTGGTGAGAAGTGAAGTTTGGATTTGTCACCCCATTTTGTTGTTTCTACGTTGCCTGTTGGACTGTTACAACAGACTCGTTTAAACTGTGATTTGGTTACAAGCGCTGCGGTAAAGAGACAGAAGAAATCTATTGAAGACATTTGTTGCTACTATAAGCTGACAGTTTTTTTTTTCTTTTCAACAACAAGGAGACAACCCAACATTCACTGCCATAAAGGAGGACAGATGTCACACAGCAGCTCAGTACTTTTTTCTTTGTTACCAAAGAAATCCTCCTGTCTTGCAATACTTTGCCCAGCTTTTGAAATGCTTCCTCGGCTATCCCAATACGTCTTCGAAACTCAGTGTAGTACTTACCATCAAAACTTCCACACCTGTTTGATTTTAGTGTCCCTGACCTGCAAATCGTATTTAGGGCTCTTTTACTGATGACCATGCATTCTGTCTTCTTGTAGTTTATGCTTAGTCCCTTCTTCTCACTATCCTTCACTACCTTCTGTAGGAGTATTTTGTAATTTTTTTTCCGTGTCTGCTATCAGTACTATGTCATCTGCATATCTTATGTTGTTAAGATTATGGCTTCCAGTGCTGAATCCCAATAGGATTTCCAATTCTGTCAGAATTGCTTAGCTGTATAAATTGAATAAGTCTGGTGACGCCCCTTTCTATTTTTGTATATCTGCTGAACTCATTCTCTATGTGCATGTATGCTGTTTGCTGCCAGTATAGGTTCTTGATTATTCTAATATCTTTCCTAAATATATCAAGGTTGCTGAGCATTTCCAACAGATCCTTGTGGCACACTTTGTTGAATGCCTTTGCATAGTTTATAAAACATGTCCTTTTGCATATGCATTGCTCTTAGAGCATTCTGAGCATGAATATTGCATCCCTTGTTCTGGTGTCTTTAACGAACACACACTGTTCTTGTCTTACCTTTGGCCTGATTCTTCTGCACACACCATTCATCAGAATAATATGGATAATGTTTTGTTACGTGGCTCATTTGGCTGATTGTTCGGTGGAGTTTACATTTGTTTGCACCTGGTTTCTTAGGCAGTGCTATGAAAATAGATCTGCCGAGATCTTCCAGTATGTCCCAACTGTTGTAGATTTCATTTATTATTTCTGTGATCTCATCTAAGGCTGTCAGCATTTCTGTTACAATTCCGTTCAATTTGGCTGGTGCAGCTTCTACTTTGGTTTTTAGAATTTCAGGTCCGTCAGTAGTTCTGTGTATTGCAGCCTGTCCTCATTCATTGTGGAAGAGTTCTCCAATATACTCGCTCCAGTGTTAAAGAATTTTTTCCCTTCTCTAATAGGTGTTCCATTCTTTAATTTTAAGCAGCCTGTTGATGAACAGGTCTTCTGGCCTGTTAGTTGCCTAATTTGTTTATGCATATCTTCTTTTGTTGGTGGTACATAATCTATTTCTGCACATTTTTTGTTTAGCCACTCTTCTGCATTTGGTCCCTATTTCATTGAGTAATCTTCTGTATTCTGTTCCGTATCTTGGCAGAGTTTTCTGTCTCCTTTGCATCAGGTTGAGAATTTCAGTCATCCATTCATTTTTTTCTTCTTCATCCATTCCCATTTGGGATGATATCATTTGCTGATGTCACTAAAATGTCTCTTAGTGCATCCCATTTCAAGTTTCCATTGTGTCCCTTGTATCTTTTCACATTGTCCATATATTTTTCTTTCAGGTATGGGTCACTCAGGAGTTTGTTATATTGCAATTTAGGTGCTGCGTTAGGCTTCTTCAGTTTCCGCAGTTTCACTCTTAGTTTACATATAACAGGGTGATGATCATTTACTGCACTTGGGTAGGTTTTGCAGTGAACCATTGCATTCCAGTAAGTTAAATTGCTAGAATTTTTACATATGTACAAGGTGTGTTCAAAAGTATCCAACTTTATTTTTTCCTGCCAAAACTAAGGGTAGCATCAAAGCATCAAATTTTAGCACTGGTAGGCCATGTCATTTCCCAGCTGTTACATCTATAGTACAGACATCTAGTGCACTATCAGATTTTCTTTTTATATGCAAAATAATGGAAAATAAGTCAGATACATTTTGAATGCACCTTCAATAAGTACTGAAACAATGATTTTTATATTCATAAAAATATCAGTTATCTCTTACAATTTAGGTGATAATTCTAGAAATCACTGGACATAAAAAACAATTTAAACAAACCTGATAGTTAGGGTTGTCTATCATTGGAGCCCTCCATTTACCCTTGTAATTAGGATTGTCAATCATTCCAGGTTTCCACTCACCACAACCAGGTGCTGATTTACATTTTGGATTGGCTAAGAAAAATTGTATTATTTTATTACAGTAGAATTTTTTTATGTAAATTTATCAGAAAAGTTTAATGTTTAAATGTCTCAAGTTAAGAACAACATTATGAATTTTTATAATGGATGACATACAGAGATCAAAGTGAATTTTATCAAAGACTTTTTTTAGCAGCTCCAAGAAGAAAGATTATAATTATTTAAATTACACAAAATAGTATTTTTGTTTAAGAATGACTAGCATAAAAAACAATCATATTGATTAAATTAAATAGTATTTACCATTTAGTGATTCATAAAGTTAGTAACTATAGCACAAATTTAGTATAGTTTCAAGGAAATTTTAAAAAACTACTGTAAATTTCAGCTTATAAGAGAGAAATAAAATGACTGGCAATCAAAATGATATGCTTAATACATGTTACAGGATTTCTTCATATGAAAGAAAAAATTAAAAAATAACTGGTATAATTAATAAAAACAGCAATACATACTTATCAGAGGGGCTTCCCATTCTCCATCCATATCATCATCCCTGAAAAGAATTTTAGAATATGTTTGAGTAAATAAACATTGGTATGGCAATATTTTACCTTTGTACTGCAATTACAAAAACCATATTTCTAATCATGATTTATATTTTTCTTTGTAAATAAAAGTTTGGATGAGAATCTAATGGAGTGGTAAATACAGAATACAATTTAGAAAACGTGGTCATTGGAAAATCCATTTTTATTTCAATAAAAACTATATAACAAGACAAAACTATTTACACTAATCAATTAATCATATGAACATTTGATTTTTTTTTTTTTACACTTCAACTATGATTTTCTATATTAGATTTTAGTAATTTCACCTCAGTTTTTATTTATTTATATATTCATTTGTTGGAGGGTTTTTGCATACCACACTATTTCAATACAAGTTTAATAAGAATAGTAGATGTTAAACTGGCTAGTAATTGCAGGGAATCCATAGATCATGGCACTTAACCCCTTCCCCACCAATATTTTGGGAAAAGCATTTCATTTTCAGACAAATTCTCTTATTTGTTTTTAATATAGTAACTAAAAAACCGAGGTACCTTGAAGTACTCAAGTGGTGGCTAACACCTCCACCAGACATAGGAGTTGATAATTGAACTTGTTTCATGCTCAAAAGGGCATAAAAAGCATCAAAGTCAATGTATAGACACGTCTGTAGCTGGTTTTTGAATGTGTTTTGGACATGTTTATTCATCCATGTCTGAAAAACACACTTTCAGTAAAAATGTATATACACATCTATACCGGGAAGGGAGTATTATACATTCATCCGTGTAAATGTGGATGGGTGAAACCATCTAGTGACAGCAAGAAAATCAACTAATGACAACTAAAAGATAGTTATAGCCATTATTATCCATCACTGGGTTCCCACAGATCTGTGTAAAAAAAAATTCCTGGACTTTTCAAGAAATTTTTCAAGACTAGGTTAAGTTTCTGGGACTCACAATGGTCAGCAATTTCTAAAACACGAACTTTGTGATTTTTATTTTTTAATAGTTTGACAAATGAGATATTCAAAGAAAAGCTACAACTGGTTCCAATAATTCATGTCTCATGAATCAGTTAAAAGCAGTAAAGATATCAAAGTGTTGAAGGCTAAAATACAACTAAATGAAGACCTAGTAATGTTACATTTTCTGTAGCATTCTACAGTTTGGAGTTCTACACATTTCAGTTAGCTAGATTACTCATGGTTTGTGAAGGTCACAAAAACTCTTGGCTGCAGGAAATTAAGTATAATGAACAGAAATACAAATAGAAATTTTCACTAAATGACTACACATTTTAACTACCCCCTACTACACATGGCACAGAACACAATATTTTTTCAGTTCATCTAGTTTAGCATTCAGCTTTTCTTGCAATTTTGATATCTCTATGGATATGTCTTTTTCAGATCTTCGCATGATATTGGATTTTGTGATAAGTGTGAAGTTCGGAGTCTGGTCAGCTTTCTCTGCATAGCTGTCAGATGACTTGAGCAATGTACAACTTTCAAACTTGTTTTTTTTTGGTCTTCAGTTCTTCAATTTCCATAAGCATGGATTTCCATTTTTTGTCCACTTGCTCCTTTCTGCCTTTTTCTTTTTCTTCTCAGCCTCAAGAAATTTGTTGTATGCTGTGTACGGCTCAATGTCTTGAAACAGACACAAAAATCTGCAGTTTCACTAGAAATAAAATGTCATTCAAGTTTGACAGCACCACAGAAGACTTGGTCTGGGGATATTTTTCTGTTTTTTTTTTAATTAAGTTCATAAATTTGATGACATCTGTCTGGCCTAATGTCGAGGAGTCATTCACATGTGTGTACTATATCAGAAGTAAAGTGACAGAGTTGCCAAATTGAACTTTTAATATGAAGCCAAGCAATAAAAGAAAATAAGTTTTAATGTATTTCATTATTTTTTTTTCACACTTACAACAAAAACTAAAAGATACAGGTCATTAACCTACAAAACTTTTAAAAAAATATTCTTATTTTTTCAAAGATGTATTTCCTATCATATCCTAAGATGCATTTTCTATTCAATCATCCTTCTTGTCTACATTTTCTTTGAGCCAAATTTGATTCTCAAACTTGTTACTTTTGGCAACAATTTAGACAAACAGACTGACACGGGACACATAAAGTATCTATTTTTTCAGCATTATTTCACCTATCTGCTGACTAGAGATCTACGGGACTTTTTACTTTTGAAATTGAAGAAATTTTATTCACATATTAATTTAAAAAAACTGATAAATTTTTTGAGATCCTACTTTCAACTACAAATTCAATGAGTGTGAATTAATTTATCTTTGACAGAGATATTTACTTGTCTCTAATGCCTTTTATCTTTGCCTTTCCTCTGATTGAGTGAAGCAGCTAGAAGACACACCTTCAATATTCTTTCTCCCTTTCTTATGACCTAGACAAGAACTAGGCCATGAACTCATTTTAATCAAGGAAACAAACCACCAGTCGCAATAATTGCCAAATATTACATTTTTCTTGAGACAATTTTTGCTTAAGAGAAAAAAAAAAGGCAGATTTCTGGTGTTTGGCGTTTTTACTTTTTGAATTGAGAAAAGGGATGTGCGTGCAGACCAATTTAGAAAATTCCAGGATTTTTCAAGCTTTTGGGCTATTGCTTTTTCCCCCAGGACTTTTCAAGTCCAGAGAAAGGCCCTGTCAATTTTCCATGACCTGTACAACCCTTGCTATTAACACAAATGGATGGTTCTTCAAAAGAAGTGTTTCTACCACAATGATAATGAAGTCAAGAGATTAATTGAATAAAAGATTCAGAGCTATGCAGGGTCAGAAGTTTGATGTTATGGATTTATAAAATGGCAGATTTTATAATTATGTACAAAAAACTTCATTGTACAGAGAATACAATCTCATTATGAAGAAAAAATTATTAGAATTTCATAGTTTTGTCATAAATGCATGAAAATAAACTGGTTTTGAACAAATGGGCCAAATAGATAACATAGACAAAATACTATTCAACAAAACTGTGACACTATTTAGCTATGGTAACTGATTAATTAATTAACCATGAAATACTGAGAACAAAAAGATGATATCCCAAAAGATATACCATTCGATATTAAAAAATTTTTTAATTTTATTTCCCAAAAAGTTACTTTTCTCAAGAACCCGAGAATTTGGCCAAAAAGGCCATATGGCAAGCTTTTGACAATTGATTAATAATAAAAGTACTGGTTGAGAAAAACACAAGAATCAGAAAGTGTCTAAGATATCATTTGAAGTCGCAAGATTTTAGAAGTTGGCCAGGCAATGGGCTATATGTTGATTGTAAGAATTTTTGGCATGGGAAGATGTCCCAAGATACGTGTTCAATATGGAAAGATCTTTATATTTTTTTTTTTCACTTTCCCAAGAAACCGAGGATTGGTGTAAACAATAAATTCACAAAAAGCCATGTGGTGAGCTTTTGATAATTGATTTATAACACGAAATAGCCAAAGAGTGTCTGAAATATTATTCGTAATCACCAGATTTTAGAAGTTGGCTAAGCCACAGGGGCCATGTGGTGTTTGTAAGTCAAAAAATGTAATTTCATAACCAACATTGATAATTTTGGAATTCAGAAATCCTGAATAAACAGGGATGTCAAAGGGGTAATTAATGAAGCAAGCTTAGCCACACCCGCATGACTGAGACACCATTGGTCGAGTGGTAGCAATGGTGATAAGTGGAAATAAATTGGTAAAAAAGACAGAGAAATTAATAACGCCCACCAATGAGGTACCAAGGTGAGAAGGAGGAAGTTTAGGAGGATAGCTATCTTGCAACCTCTCCTCACAGGCGAAGGGATCCCCCCACCCCAATAGAATGTAATTAATTTTCCAAAATGGAAAGTAATCAATTTTCCTAGCTGGACAACAAAGGTTCTTTGTCAGAAATCAGAAATTACCAAGAACCCCAGGCTGTATCTAGCCCCGCACCAGTTTCTGGTCGATGTCCATATAAATGAGTGTCCTCGGTTCGCCAGTTTCAGTTTTAGGCAGTTGGGGTTAGTTTGTTAGCAGGAACCAGAGGGTTGCCTTGCAGAAGCTGACCGAGAGATTCCACAACTTCGACTTCCTATGAAACAGCAAGTTACACTGACAAACGAAGCTAAGCCAGCACTTAAAATCTAAACCAGTTGACTTAGAAAACATGGAGTTGCCTAGGGTATAAAGTGTCACTCTCCAAAAAACGGGTTGAGAACAAAAAAACAAAAAAAAAAAAAAAAAAAAAAAAACAAAAAACACATACTCTTGTATAGAACAGACTGATAAAAGTTGATCGGCTTTCTTTTAACATAAAAACCAAAAAGATTTGGTTTTTTATTTACTTTTTCTTTTTACACTTGTGCAATGTCACCTCCAGTTTAGACTCATCCTGCACTACGACCCTGATGCCTGATTGAGCTCGTCTACCTAAGATTAAAGCACAACATGGGTAGGTTGAGATCAAAGTAGTTACTTCAGTAACCAGCCATTGGAAGTGAGCTGGGAATGACGGAGCTGGTATTGGACCGGTTGCATCTGGTGTGAAGCTGTTAGAGTCGACCAACCATCCCATTTGGCATCCTGACCAAAGGATCCTGCCGGGTAGCAACAAACACCAATCAACTGGGTCACATATTGGTGGCAGCAACTAAGAGTCAGCCCCAAAATGCAGGTAGAAGTATCACGGCTTCAATGCCACGACTAAGAGCTGACCCTGGGCCAACAGTATTGTGTCACAAAACTGTGAGCATTTAAGAGTTGCAGTAAAACCAACTGGCCATGAAAATACCCACTGTACAGTAGTCCTGGCCTGTTATGGTGATGGCAGAAAATTGCTACTGTTTTTTTTTTTTTTAATGATTAAAAGAATAACTCAACTAAAAGAAAAAATTTCAATGCCAGAATACACTGAAAACTTTTCCCTGAATATATTATGTTCAAAAGGAGGAGTGCTTCATATGCAATCAAACACAATATATAATACTTATTAATCTTTTTTTTACACAAAAGGATTAGATCCTATATTGATTTACTTCTTCCAGTAAATAAAAGGATATATGTGTATTTAAAATACATCCTAATAACTTTAGTTGTAATCTAATAACTTCTGATTCAATAATCTTAGATCAAGCAATATCACCTTTATTATTTAATCACAATGCATTTTCTGACCTTCATTGGTCTTTATAATCATAACTTTAGGTGTGTAAAAATAATCTTCTAGTGCATGGTGATTTCTAAGTCAATATTCATTCATAGCTAGCATTGAAACTAGCTAAACTTTTTGTTGATTATCACAGAAAATTACTGTTAAAATTTTATTTATTTTATTGTTTATATAGGAATATTTTGCTTATTGGGAATATTAAATTTTATCTATTAGCTTGAAATTAAAACTTCAAGAAAGATTTTTCATTTTTAAAAATTCATTTTAAACTTTAGGTATAAATAATGTAATTAAGAAATCTTAATTCAAATGTAAATGAATAAATAGTGCATTTATGAGGTAACCTTTATGCAGTTTTCATTCATGAGAATCCTCAATTTATATATATCTATCCTATAATAATATTAGATAATTATTATTAAAATTAACATAAAAAATTAGTAATAATTATAGAAAATTTAAAATATAAATTTAAAAAAAAAATTTTTTTATTTAATGTATTTTGCTTGTGGTAGGTTTTGGTCATTTTTCAAATGTAGCAACTATTTTCTTTTTTTGTAACATCCAGACCAAAAAAAATATAAACATTGTAAGTGTAGACAATGGCTCACATGCCAGTGCACACCATATTGAGCAGCAATAAAGATAAAAAACTGCTATATTTACCAGTCAGTTGGTTTCTCTGCATCAGGATCAGGAATATCTTCTGGCTCATCATCCAACCATCCTTCAGGTTTTTCTGCATCTGGATCAACTATTTTTTCTGGTTCATTCTCATCCCTAACAAGTAAAATAAAATGAAAAACTAAGTTGCTGCAATTTGTTTAACACTAGCTTTCACATTATTCTGCCCATTTATTCTCTTACAATACCACATGGAATTCTTTCACTTGGTTGTTGTACTCTTAAGAATGTTAAAAAACAAAGCACAATTTTTCTTCACAATATTTTATATGTATATCACAGTGATTATTTACTATTAGTATTTATCCCCATCTACCTCATGACAATAAAAGAATAAAAATTTCAATCATACCAATCATCAGGCTTTGTTGCATCTGGATCAGGAATTCTGTAAAAATAATTCATAATTAAAATTAAGAAAAGAAACTACACCTACCATCATACAGTTTAAATAATTACAAAGTTTCACAATTTTTCTTTTTAAATTAACAAATAATCTTGCTAGGATAAAAAAAAAAAAAAAAAACAAAACCCCAAACAAAATAACATTTATTTGTGTCATATAGGACATAAATGAATGGAATCATCCATTTATGCAAATAAGCGGAGTTGAGGAGAGTTAGCATTAGGTCAATTGCTATTTGTACCTTTGTGTAGTAAACCTTATATTTACCTTATATTTACTTACCTATGAGTTTTTCCTGTTATTTCAGAAACAGGAGATATAACAATTTATGAAGACATAGGTACGACATACATACTATATGCATGCTTTATAATTTTTTATTGATAGTGAAAGATTTTACATAACTCACTTTTCCCTATCATCCCAATCTTTGGGTTTTTCATCTTTTTCATCCTCAATTTCTTTGGGTGGATTCACAGGAGGTCTTAAAAAAATGTACATAAGATTAGAGAATAAGTTAATATTTTCAATTTACATAGGTTTGTAGAAATATTCATAACTTAATATTTATCAAGATTAGGATGAAGATTAATTTTGTTAACTCATTACAATCAATTTGCCTAGATGTAGATGCAAAGATATCAAAATTGCTCAAATGAATCATTGAATTCCATCCTTAAAATACAAGTATCATTCAAATAGAATAAAGGTTTACAGACTAGATTTATTAGTATGTTTCTTTGCCATATTGTCACTTAATCTAAAATAACTGGTTACAAAAAAAAGGTAATAAAACAATAACATTGCAATTACTCACGTCATATCTTCAAGAAGATTTCCTTCATTTACAACATATCCATCAATAGAGATTTTAAAAGTGTTATCAGGGTTTATAACTGATGAAAAGAAAAAAAAGAAAAAAAAAAAAAAAAAAAAAAAAGAAATTATATCATTAGCAAATTGGCAAATTTAAAAAAATCCCTTCCCATCCAAAATAAGATCTATTCTGTATAAATCAATTAGCATATTGTAAAAAAAAAAAAAAATTTCATTGAATGTAATTTTTTGTATAACAGCCACCAGAATCTAATGAAAGAATCAATTATTTGTACTCACCTAACTGATACAAGTGAGTGTTCTTATCAGTGAAGTAATTTTCAATAGATCCAGTTGGCTTTTTAGCATGTTTTTCCTAAATTTTGGATATCGCAAAAAAAAAAAAAAAAAAAAAAAAAAAAGAAAAAAAAGAGAATAAGAAATGTAATTAAGAATTTTAGCACGTCTTTAAAAATTGTGCTGACATTATGCCTCACATAAGGATAACTGATTCAGAAGACTTAAGCAGGTATCAACGTTTGCATTTTTTTGCCATGATTAATTACCAATTGCCAGTACTAATACCCAAAACAATTTTCCATGTGACAATAGATAATTTTTTTTTTTTGCTTAAAGTTCACTGAATACATTTTTTATTAAAATTATTCAAACTGAAAAGATTTATAGAAAGTTTTATAAACATTATTTTTCTTGTAGGAAATTTTTCAATACTTTAACAAAAAATAAAAAAGTAAAATGGGTTTATTAAGCTTAGAAACTAAGCTTGTAATTTATAATTTTTTTAAGATGGATTTAAAAGTTAACATAAATGAGACACAAAATTTTCTTTGAGGACCTCTTTAGTATAAATGTAACATTTTTGCTTTTGCTTGGAATAAATCAAAATGCTTGGAAGGTGAATAGAATCATCCCAAGATCCAGATACAGAAAATAATATTCCCAGGAATTACAAGTGAATTAGAATGAATGAGATTTGAAATATTCAATCTGGAAGTTAAAACTTTTTTTTTTTTATTTAAATAAATAAATATATATAATTGTCATATCTTGTTTATGATTTAAATGAAGGAGAAAAATAGATTTTAAAAATGTAATTTCTATGATAAACTGTAAAAATAATTTTAAAATAATGAATGTATATTTATATAGATATCTTGATACAACAGATTTTTTCTAAGAACTATGTTAGAAAAGGTGTTTAAAAAATGGCAGTATATATTGAAGATGTTTAGTTATATTTTATATCCATATGAGAAAATTATAGTCTGTTATAATGTATTTTTAATGACAAATTTTCTTTTCAGCAAACGTTGTGCAAGAATGGCATATAGATGGATATCCAGTGCCAATTAATTCCTACATTTATTCAAAATCTGTTATATTTTATGAATACTATTACTACACTAAAAGTCTATCTTCGACTTTCAGTGTAGTAATAGTATTCATAATCAAACTAAAAGAAATTAAATAAATTTAAACATCAATATTAGACTTAGAAAAAAAAAAAAAAAAAAAAAAAGCTCTACTTACTGTGATTTCACCAGTTTTTGGATTTCTATGCCTGAATATAAAATGCAGCTATAAAAAAAAAAAAAAAAAAAACACACAAGTAAGCAAAAGATCCACAAACAATTAAAACGATAGCAATGTAAAGTTTAGGTTTTTCAAAATCTACCCATTAAAGACTTTGTATTTTTTAACCACAATATTCCAAATAAAGGGGAGAGGAGGGAAGAAAATTGTCATATTAAGTTTAAATCAAAAAAATACTAAGGAGTTGTTTTTTGTTTTCAGCATATACATTAATTGTAGAGAGTGGATTCAAGTGCATAATTATGCTCATGAACCCATTCTACAATTATCTAAAAAATGAATCTAAGAAAAAAAAAAAAAAAAATCTTACCTTATAGTCCAAACCACATTTGTCTGGACCAAACATAATAGTATAGGGTGTTTTGTCATGGAACTGTGCCTGAATACAATATCAATTTAAAAAGTGTCAATCTTTTTTGCATTAAAATACAAGTACTTATGTTAAGTTCATATTAATAACATCTTATCTCATATTGTCATTCTCCATTTTCATTTTAATGTAAAAATCACTAAAATTCACACACAAATCTTATAAAAAGGTACATTGAAATGTCACCTTTTTGACATGTCAAGCACATGTAAAACAAAATAATGTTAAAATGCCACCAACTTTTGTTCCACTCAATAGATAGTCCCTAGTTCAATTAGGTATCCCAAACTAAAATTTTCTTCAATATATCTAAAAACTTTTAGGCATAGAGAGCTTAATAAATAAAAATGGTACCAAATTTAACTGGGTAGCCTAATTAGTAATCAAATTATGACCATTTAAAGTTCTGACGAACTTTGAAGATGTTCCATCGTACATGCTATTGGATCAGAAACCAATTTTAACAGCATATAACTGAAGATGCCAGCTTCAAACAAGTGAAAAATCATTATAAATACAATTTCATATAGGTAATCTTGAAGTAAAAGAAAGATAATACTAATGGAATCAATCATTATATCAAACCAGCCTAAACATTGGGAAAATTGGCATTTGCAAAAACAAAATCATTGAATCATGTCACAGATGGGAAATTTTGAGTGCTTGTATGAATTCCATTGTAACTTCTTGCTAGGATTCATAGCGCAACAGAGATGAAGTTGATTTTTTTTTTTTTCACTAATACATTATTGAAAAAACATATACACCATGTTTTTTTTACATGGTGTATCTGTTTTTTATTTTTTTTTTTCAGTCAGAAGCACAATCTGACAGTAGAGCAAACTCTGGTCAAAAGTATCCATTGGAGGTACTTGCCAGAGACTTTGAGATTAAGAATTCGACAAAATTGCTTTTTTCTTTGTAATCTGATTAACATATATGTAGCTAATTTTGTAAAAATTTTTGGACATTATGCATTTTTGACTTGCAAATTTAAGGAAAAAAAAAAAGAAAAAGTAATAACTACAATACTACTCCATGAAATGAATCATTGGTCAATCCCTCAAACAAATGTAAAACTTTAAACTTTTATTTTAAAACTAAAAACTGAAATGAGAAATACATTTATTGGAACCGATGAAATACTTTTTTTTGATGGTTGAAATAGTAGTCCTGCATTCCCTCTTCTAAATATCTGCAGTCAAAATTTGCTTATAAGTCCCTGCCATATGTCAATATTCCTGGGGCACTCCATAACCTATCATCACTTGAAAGTGATATACTAAATAAAGACAACTGTTGATGCCCCTTGCACACCACAATCCAACAATATTAGCCGTTTCCATATAAGGAAACATTTGACTTGTACTACTATCAGTAGAAATTTTTAAAACCTTTCTCTTAAAACAATTTTTCAGGAAAAAAAGTTTCTCAAGTCTAATAATGTTGTTAATGTTGTTTCCAGTACTGATGGGGGAGGGGGTTCCCTGTTTTGCCTTTTGTTTTGAGCTTGGTGAAACATCAGCATCTTGATTATATCCTTATGTCTTACATGTGTAACTAATTTCGATCATTGCTGCTGTTGAAAATCCTGAAGTGATGTGGTTTCTGTTATCTTGTACAGTTCTTTGTTATTTCATAGTGCTAGTCCACAAGGTTTGATGAATGATCCTCACTGAGGTCTACACACTTCACTTGCTTAAAACCATTTTTTAACCATAGATCTTAGAAAGCAGTTGAATATAGCTACAGTTTAGATCTTTCTGAATGTGTTTAGCATCATGCATGACATCCATATTAAAGTCTCAATCTGACAAGGCTATTTAAGAACATGTCTCTTGTTTTTAGGTTAATGTTTATGCTTAATGTTTAAGCGTAAACATTAACCTAAAAACAAGAGAGGCATTAGACAAAACTACTAACACAACCTATTCTATGTTCAATTTCCTTATACTAAATTTGTTGTAACCGATTCATACACCAAGGTATTTGAAGAGTTTAATATTTACTAAATCCAGATCCTGAATTTTTATAAATTTTGGGTATGTATAATCATCAATTTTTTAAATTGAATTTTGCTGGCATTTTCTTCCTTCCAAGTTTACAATTTATAAATTTCTTGTGTCATCAAATTGATGAACATCCTTTTTTTTTCTCTTTAAGATGAACTACTTTCCTATGTGTAGGAACACACATCTCTGAGTGAAACATTTTTAAAAACACCATGACATTTTCAGTTTTGAAAATGCAGAAAAGCACTTGTCATTGAAATATTAAAATACTTTAAAGAGATGTGAAATAAAAAACTAATCATCAGATAAAAAATTGTATACTAAAGAGAAAAGATTAAATTTGGTATACATACTAATTTTTATCAAAGTAATCTTGGAAATAAGTGAGATCTCACTAGTTGAACTTGAATAAAATTTCACTATTTTGAGCAGTTTCACAGTGTAAACTTAGGGAGGTTCAGGATACCTAATGTCATAGGACTGGAGCAATCTTCATGTCCACTCAAAAGGGAATATAGGGAACAAATTTTCCGTTATCATGGAATTGTGGATGGAATCGTTAATCAAATTGTATCTGGGTTTTTAATGTGATTTTTCAATAATAAATTATTTGATTATTTTTTTCAAACTTTTTTTTTTTTTTAATGCTTTTGAAACTTAATAACTGTCTCTATTTTGTTGTTAAACATTTTAATAAATCTAACAATATCATAACAGTTATTTCCTTAAAATTTGTTTTTTTACAAATATTTGTAGTTATTTTTCTTTTAAGACCAAAAATGTATTAAGAACAAAAATGTTTACATAAAAAAAAAAAAAAAAAAAGAAAGAAAAAACTGGGTCGACTATTTTCTGAGAATATGTTGGCTAGTCTATTTTTAATTAAGAAACTATATAGCCAATGAAATGACTGTCAGAAGGTCACAGTTCTGTCATGGCCACCAAAATCCATTGCTAGAATGGAAATGGGGAAGATAGACACTAGTTGTTATCAAAATTGGAAGTGGAGAGAGACGAAAATCAAACGAATAAGTTTAACAAATTCATTTCCTTTAAACACTCACACAACTTACAAGTAAAGAGTCTAAACAACTTGTAACCTTGTTTTATGAATGTGAAAGAAAAGTAAATTCTATCACATGCCTACCATATAATTTGATAATAAAGAAAAAAAATTCTCAAAAAAAATCTCTGAAACGACTGGCAGTGCTTCACCATTGTAAAAGAAATTTAAATATTGGAATGCAAATAAGAGCAGATTTCCTCTTCTGGAACAGATTGCCAATAAGGTCACATGGATGCCTGTTACCAGTGTAGATGCTGAATGTTCATTTTCTCAGTATAAACATTTACTCAATAAACATGAAAGTCTTACCTCTGAGAACATCAAGTAATTCACAAAGTTATATTACAATGGAGATTTAGAGAATAGTAGAAAATTAGATATTTCCCAAATTAAAAAACTAGCAATTTTAAATTTGAGCAGTACTTCAACTTGGGATAATTTACTTTATTTAAATTTTGAATATGTCTAATTTGTTTTTTAATATTTTGTTACAAAGATTCAGTTATTATTGTGACACTATCTGTACTGGTAAATAATAAGGAGGCTGAATGTCTAGAATGATAAATATACTGATAGACTCCTGATAAATAATAAAAAGAGTTAATGAAGACACTGAACAACATACGATACTTTCCGTGGGAAAGATTGAAAATATTTCTCAAAAAGGTCAAGAACCAGCAGAGAAAACAACATTCAACTACGACAGGTCATATCGCAAATATTTTAATGCTTGGTTGATGACATACAGATAAAATATGGGCTGTGAAGGCAAGAGGAGAGAATTATATAGAATTTAAAATCATAATTCAGAGATAAGTGGAAAACCATCTAGGTTGTGTTTCATTTTTGGGCAATGAAAAACATGGGGTTGATGTGAAAAAAAATTTGTGTAGATAATGAACTTGGGTATTAATCTTTTCTTGTATCTTCACTCCGAGGTCATTGGCAACTTTGGAGGATGGCTGAGGTGGCAGGTGCAGATGAGACACCAAGGAAGGTGTATGAGCTACCCATGCCCACTGAGGAGCATTAGTAGGTGATGGTAATAAGAGAAGGTGGAAGTTATGAGGTGGATTAAACCATGGAAGAGGGGA